CCAGAAAGGCAGGGAGATTCCTATTTAAACATCTGCCATGCACAGACATATTAGGTACCAAATAAGTGCTTTTGATAATGACACAAAGTGACAGCTTTGGGAAAGCTTTAGGGCCCTACCATCACTGATTACATTCAGCCATTCAAAACTGGATTTAAATCCAGACCTCCCAAGAAGAGTCCCCATAGCTTAGTCTGAGATGGAATTCATGGCATTCTTCAACCTCTCTGCCTTAAATATCTGTCCAGATTATGCCCTTTCATGTGTTTTTGAAGTAAAAAAGAAAATCGTATTCTCTCCTAAAACTTTTCCTGACTCAGGCATTTAATATTATTAATGAAGACTGAATGGCTGCAGTTTAATTATTTTAATGCTTCCAGCTCAAACTGTAGAAGTCCAGGAACCAAATGTTTGGCCCATTGTAGCTAAAAGCCTGCCTATACTTTCCTTGTGCACGACTATAAAATAAAAAACAAGGAAAGTGGCTTGTAATTGTATAGCAACCAAACACATGGTTTTTCCCTTTCCTTTGGGATGAAAATGCCTTCCTGTAGAAACTAAGGTTATGCCCCTACTTGTGAAGCCCAAGGAGGGACACTTTGATGTGAAAGAGGATCCTGGCCAAGTAACGGATGCAGAAACCAGTGTGGGAATAGGAGGAGCCTCCAGAAACAGGAAAAGGCATTGTCCCAGGGAGGGGTTATTTCATCCCACTCTGTCGTCATTCAGGCTGTCTGGTTTATTTCCTCCCCCAGGTTGGTGTGAGTTGGAAGGACAGTCCTTTGTTAATGAGGTCAAGAACAAGACCGACCATTTTGTGAGGTGGTTAGGGCTTCACTTTAAGATTTCAGATTTTATAAAAAGCGACCAAGAAAAAAAAATTAATCTGGGCTTCATCTAAGCAACACCAAGGCAACTGGTTAGGAAGTGAGAAGTCCAATCAGTTGGTGTGGCTAAGCAACATCAAACACCTTGGTTTTTCCCAGGAAATATTTCAACTGGCCAACAGTTCAGGCTTTATGCAGATATAAGACTGAAATCCTGCCTGCAGCCAGGTTCCCTAAATAAAACTTGCTAAAATAAAAAAGGTTTTTTTTTTTAAAGAGTTTCATGTCTGTCACAAATGAATAGCTGCTGGTCAAAGCACTGATAAACACAAAGGAATGTGTAGAGCTGGGAAAATCCCTGGGCTTGTTTTCTGGGACAGTATTAGCAATGCCCCCGTGTGGGTTCCATCTTTCTTGGGGGCTTTCTCAGCACACACTGGTGTGTGCCCTGCAGCTCCTGGGGTAATACTTATGCACGGGTTCCGGCAGAATCTCTAGCCAAACCTCTGTCAGCTGGGAGCAGTATGGGAAAGAGTGGACAAGGCTGGTTCCATCTGGCACAGGCTCGAGGCCTCTGGCTGCATTATTTTCATTGTGTTTAGCACTGAGTGCTTCAAAGCGCTTGAGAATGCTTTGTCTTTATTAGTTTTCACAACAGTCCAGGCTGTAGGACATCTTTAATATTAGATTTCCCACTTTAGCATTCAAGAAGCTGATGATCAGAAGGCTTAATGGACTTGTCCATCATTACCTGGAAAATGAGTATTTGACCCACGATTAGACTGCATAAATATGGGTCTCTAATGGCTATATAGTCCACAGATATACAGAGAAGATTGCCATTTTCTCTCAGAACCTAAGGGAATAATTTTCTCATCTCATAGGTCTCCCGTCTTCTCCCAGGGCCCAGTGAAGCCCCTGCCAGTCTTACCTAAGGGCATGAACTTGGTCTGAACTGCTGGAGGCACTCTTAACTGAGGTTGGGCTCAGCTCAGCTCTTCATTCTGTGTCACACAAAAGACCCATGAGGGTTTCAGATGAGCTGGATTTTTTTTCTAATCTGCAATACTAGTACATAAAAACAAAACCTTAGGGAGCATAACCTGCATAAGCCAAAGTTAATCTTATAAAGCAATTCAATTTGATATTGCAAAATATGAGTCACCTTCCATGTGCAAGACCCAAGACTGAATAAAATTAGTCCTGATGCTCCAGGAGTTCAGAGCCTTCTGAGGTAGACAAATGCACACACACTAATTTGTATCCAGGGCTGACTGCATAATTGTACACAAGAAGTAGAAACGAAATGTTAGGTGGGCCCAGAAGAGGAAGGAGACACTGATTCTGACCAGGGATGTCTGGAAGGTTTCTCTGAGGAGATGGGAGGGGCCCTTGACAAGTCAGACTTGCAAAAGCAGAAGCAGAGGTCCCGAGCAGTGTGATCTGCCCAAGCTCAAAATGCGTTTCTTCATCCATCATACCAAACAGCTTCAGAACCATTATCTGAATGTTACCAGGGAGACATGGTGTATTGTGAAATTGAGATGATTTTTATTCTCAGCTCTATTTTGCTAAAAAATTCCAGGAATAAGGCGGTGGCAGAGTGACCCATTTTTCTCATTTTGCATAAATTTATATTTAAATTCTCACTGTTGGGGACTTTCATAATAATGAGATTTATCCAGAGCCTTGCATCAGTGTTAAAGAAGGGCATTCATTCAGAGGAAAATTTTCAAAAAGATCAACCATGCATTGAAATCCATTTATGTTTTCTATGTTTCTAACTGGCGTTTCTTGAAATATTTGCTAATTGCTAAATTATTTTAGCAATTAAATCCCTTGGTTTTTCTACTTATTTGAGTTAGTACCAAGTGAATAGATAAGGCGAAATCTATTTCCTCATGGAAATAGATTAGAGGTTATAAACATAGGATTAGAATTAACTATAGTATTAAGCAGGAGAAACTGGTCATAATATATGACAATGAGTTTTTTTCCATGTTCAAAATAGCATATTTGTCAAAGCACCCAGGCATTACGCTGAGAGATGCTTCATACATACTTTCTATTAATATCTCCCCTTTAAAAGTAGTTTTCTGAGAAATGTCTAGTACAAAAATTTGTTATGCTTAGACAGATATAAGTGTTCTTTGTTTTAAGATCTCTACTTGTGTGGAAATTTCTGCTTATTACTAGTACTTTGAGGCTGGGTGTGGTGGTTTATGCCTGTAATCCCAGCACTTTGGGAGGCTGAGGCGGGCAGAACATTTGAGGTCAAGAGTTTGAGACCAGTCTGGCCAACATGGTGAAACCCCCATCTCTACTAAAAATACAAAAAAACCCAGCTACTTGTGGTGGTGTGCACCAGTGGTCCCAGCTACTCAGGAGGCTGAGGCAGGAGAATCGCTTGAACCCTGGAGGCAGAGGTTGCAGTGAGCCAACATTGCACCACTGCATTCCAGCCTGGGGGACATAGAGAGATTCTGTCTCAAAAAAACAAAAAAAAAAGGCAGTATTTTATATCATGAAGTTCAACTTGAGATTGGAAATTCCCTTTTATCAATTAACACTACTGTATGACTTCTTCCAGCTCCACTCAAATTGCCCTGTCAACAGTTGCCAATGATCTTTGTTGTATTTGATGAATCCAATGGACTTTCTTCAGGTCCATTAAAAAAAAAAAAAAAAAACAGCAGAGATGCTGAGAACTGAAAAGGGAGTCATTTTCCCAGCTCTTTGGTATTTTATTTCATTTTATTTTAATTTAATTTTATTTTCCTTCTTCACCCTCCTGCCCATCTGGAAGAGGGGAGGGAAGAGGTGAAATAGAAGGAGGCAAGGGGGTCTCCCCTCTCAGATAAATCAAACATACTCTGTAAGCCAGATTTTAGTGTTAAGAGATTCCCCTGAGCAGGAAAGGCAAATGCAAAAAAAAAAAAAAAAAAAAAAAAAAAAAGAGTTTGAGACCAGTCTGGCCAACATGGTGAAACCCCCATCTCTAACTCAAAATGCAAAAAAATCAGCTACTTGTGGTGGTGTGCACCTGTGGTCCCAGGTACTCAGGAGGCTGAGGCAGGAGAATCGCTTGAACCCTGGAAGCAGAAGTTGCAGTGAGCCAAGATTGCACCACTGCACTCCAGCCTGGGCAACAGAGTGAGACACTGTCTCAAAAAACAAAACAAAACAAAAACCCCAAAACCAAAAACACCAGTCCTTTGAGGTAAGATATTGGGTACATGTGAATCTGACAGAAAGACTATATTTAATTTTGTCCAAAAAGCTTAAGTTACCTGATTATACATAGTATTGTGTACAGCATTTTTCAACTGAGATCTATACAACCCTAAGCTTAATGAATTCAGGCTGGGCTCTGTGCTTGTGCCTATAATCCTAGCACTTTGAGAGGCCGAAGTGGGAGGATTGAGCCCAGGAGTTCGAGATAAGCTTGGGCAACATAGTAAGACCCTGTCTCAAAAAATTTTAAATAAATAAATGAAGTTAATGAATCCAGTCATTTGATTAATCATTACTGAATACATGTGACACACCAGGCATTGTACTATATTCTGGTGCTTGCTTCAAAGAAGGCTATAGTTTTATAGGGTTTAGACAAACACTAAACATACAAACAACACCCACTGAGTGTGATGCAAATCCTATTTTCTTGAACAGAAATCACACAGGTTATAAAGTACACAATTTAAAAAAATCACTTAGAAAAACTGTGGCCAATTAAACTATGACGTAGTATTGATTATAAGACTCATCCCAACTTCGGAGATGTTAAAATTAAAAAAAAAAGTATATACCAGAATCAGTGAAATGCAGTACTCTAAGGAAAAACAGAGGGCTGCATTAGACTATCACAGGGAGACCTTTAAATAGGGATGACCTCCATGCTGAGATACATTTTAGCTCATACCTGAAGAATAAGAAGTTGGTCCTACTTCAGCCTAGGAGGAATGTTCCAGGCAGCAGGAAGAGCCTCAGAATAGAGGCATGTTTGGGGTGCTTAAATGATACTTCACAGGTTTCGCAGCAGTTATCTTGGGGCTTCTTCCAAACCACCACTGTTTTATTATAGAATTATAAACCATTGAGGCATCTCCGTTTCCACATGGTCCTCCGCAGCTGTTGTAGCTTTCCTGCTGTTGTTGTGTGTTCTGCTTTCAGGCAGCTCACTGGCCCATCTCCTCTCAAGACTGCTGCTCTGGCGACCACATCTCTGCTCTGCATCACCACCACTCTAGCCTGTGGCCTGCTCCTGGTTGAAGAAGCCATCCTCTCAATCAAAATGAATACCACTCTGAAAATCTTGGGTGGTCTGACCTGATATTTTCACATAGTGGCCACAGATATTTTAGGTCCCCAAGAAGTAGTCCCACTCTTTCAATTTTACTGGCCCCACTGTTTGAGGAACTTGGAATAATTTCTCCAAGGACTGGTCTGGAGGTACTATTGAATGACACCAGTGTTTTTCTTCCTCCCTACTAAGGGCCAGCTGATGTCTCAAGACCAGACATAAAGCTTTTGGTGCTCAACTCACTCAGAATGAGAGTCTTGCTTTCCCTCAGCACTTCCTGCCCTTCGAGGTTGGGGCCAAACATTTTGTTCCTTTGTTACTAAGGACTTTTGATCTTGGTTTTCGATATTTGTCATTCCCAGGAGAATTAGTACCCTGTGTCTTGGTAAATTGTAAGAGCACTGTGGATTTGGGATTGTCTCATTTCCCCATCCCTCCCTTCACAAGAAAAGAGAAAGAGAGAGAACACCCAAACCCTGCATCACCACTCACTCACCTGTCCACAGCCTATGGAACAGCTGTTCGGGCAGCTGTCACAAACTGTTCACACAGGTTTTCTGAGAGATTGGCAGTCTCCACGAGGAAGTGCTTATAACTCCCTGCTATGGTTCAAATGTGTCCTCCAAAGTTTATGTGTTGGAAACTTAATACTCAATACAACAGTGTTGACAGGTGGGGCCTATAAGAGGTGATTAGATCACAAGCCTCTGCCCTCATGAATGGATTAACGTTACTGAAAGAGCGGGACTGTTATGCAAGCAAGTTTAGCCCCCTTCCTGTGCGCGCGCTCTCTCTCTTTCTCTCTGAAAAAGAGTGGGAGTTAGATGCTTTTTTTCAAAAAGAACTCCTTATACTATCTCCACCAATTTCTTTACATCCTATTCTAACCCCTCACATTCCATTCCTCCCTAATCCACTTTACTATAGTTTTCATTTTCACCAAGATTTATAGTGACACCAGCTAGTCAAACACGATGACTAACATTCTTTGTGATTTCATCTTACTGACCAGTTACCATGTGCCCAACCACTCTTCCACTGTCAAAACACCCTTGGCTTCCCTGATGCCATGTTCTTCGGATTTTTTTCCCCATGCCATTGGCTTTGGTTTCACTCCTCTCGGGTTTTCTTTGTTCAACTCCTAAATTTTTAAGTATTCTATAGGCTTGATTTTGGTTTCTCTGTTTGTTTTCTCTCTTTATCCTCATTCTAGGGAATCTCATTTCTTTCATTATAAATCACCAGAATTATGATAATTTTCAAATTTATTTCACTAGCCCCACCAAGATCCAAACTTATATATCCAACCTCCTCCTTGATATGAAATTTGATGATTAATAATCGTTTGAAACCAGAATTCTTGATTCCCCTTGCAAATCTGTTCCTGTCTTTATCATTTCAGTCAATGACATATCTACTTAGTTGTTCAAGCTAAAAACATAGAAGTCATTCTCAATTCCTTCTTTTCTGTCACCTCTGTGTCCATCCATTATCAGTCTAGTCAGTTCACCCTCCAAAATCAATCTCAAATCTGTTTATTCCTTTTATTCTTTACCTTTACCCTCTTAGTCCAAATCACTGGCTGCAGTAACTATCTAACTGGCATCCATGCTTCCATGTTTGCCCCCTACAACCCATTCTCTACACAGCATTCAGGGTGATTTTTTTTTTTTAATGTAACTCAGGGCATGTCTATTCTCTGTCATTTAAGTCAAACAAAATTCAGCTTCCTCACTTCATTTGATTTGGTCTCATCATACAAGCTTTATCCATTTAAGACTTTGTTTCTTTGTTATCAGGTGTAAAGATAGATCCTTTTGTTCTTTAAAAGCAGATACGTTTACCTTTTCAAATAGATCCCTTTACTTTTAGTTAAACTCCAATTTTGCCGGCAAAAGAACACTGCTTTTCCTGTTTGGGAACTGGTTGTGGGGAGATATAGGGGACTGATAGGGTGACCAAACATGTAGTAGAGAACCCCAGTGTCATTGCACAAATGCCGGCCTTCCCCACATTCATGGCTGAGCCTAGCTAAAACTGTAGGGGAAATTTTTCTTCAGTATACCAGCCATTTTTGGGGGGGTTATCATATTACTATCATCTGCCTCTCCTGCACTTATTTTGCAAAGTTTACAGTGCTTTCTTCTAGGCCTCCATAAAAATTTGTTCTCATAATTTCTATGTGTGAAATGTGAACCCAAAGGTATCTGAGACAGGTCTCAATCAATTTAGAAAGTTTTTTGTTCCAAGGTTAAGGACACACCCATGACACAGCCTTAGGAGGTCCTGACAACGTGTGCCCAAGGTGGTCAGAATAAAGCTTGCTTTTATACACCTTAGGGAGACACAATACATCAATCAATACATGTAAGATTTACAGGAGTTCAATCTGGAAAGACAGGACAACTTAAGGTGGGGACTTACCGGTCGTAGGAAGATTTAAAAATTTTCTGATTGGCAACTGGCTGAAATAGTTATTATCAGTAGAAAACAATGTCTGGGTTGTGATAAGGGGTTGTGGAGTCCAAGGTTTCAGTATGAGGTTGAAGCCTCCACGTAGCAAGTTTCAAAAGAGAATAGATGGCAAATGTTTCTTATCAGACTTAGGGTTTGTGTTGATATTAAATGCTGGTCAGCTTTTCCTGAATTCCAAAAGGGAGGAGGGCATAATAAGGCATGTCCAATATACCATTATGGCCTGAACCAGTCTTTCAGGATAACTTTGGAGTGCCCTGGCTGAGACGGGGGCCATAGAATTTTATTATTGTTTACAGAAATCATCTGGGAAAATGTATTAAAAATAACAAAACAAGCATTTTGCATTTGTCTTTAAAAGATAGCCATGCATTGTGGCTCACACCTGTAATCCCAACATTTAGGGAGGCCAAGGTAGGGGGAACACTTGAGGGCAGGAGTTCAAGACCATCCTGGGCAACGTAGCAAGATCTCATTTCCAGAAAAAACGAAAATAAAAAAAAAATTAGCCAGGCATGGCAGCACGTGCCTGTAGTCCCACCTCCTTGGGAGGCTGACGTGGGAAGATCTCTTGAGCCTAGGAGATCAACGTTACAGTGAGCTATGATGGCACCATTGCACTCCAGTCTGGATGACAGACAAGAAGAAAGAACAAAGAGAGAGAGAGAGAGGTAGGGTCTATATGGGGTACATGTGAAGAACATGCAGGATTGTTGAGTAGGTACCTACATGGCATTGCTGCCTCCATCCCCATCACCTATATCTGGCATTTCTCCCTATGTTATCCCTCCTCAACTCCCTACCCGCTGCTGTTCCTCCCCTACTTTTCTCCAACAGACCCCAGTGTGTGATGCTTCCCTCCCTGTGTCCATGCGTTCTCATCGTTCAAAACCCACCTATGAGTAAGAACATGTGGTGTTTGATTTTCTGTTCTTGTGTCAGTTTGCTGAGAATGATGGTTTCCAGGTTCATCCATGTCCCTACAAAAGAGACAAACTCGTCGTTTTTTATGGTTGCATAGTATTCCATGGTGTGTATGTGCCACATTTTCCCTGTCCAGTCTATCATTGATGGGCATTTGGGTTGGTTCCAGGTCTTTGCTATTGTAAACAGTGTCACAATGAACATACTTGTGCATGTGTCTTTATAATAGAATGATTTATAATCCTTTGGATATATACCCAGTAATGGGATTGTTGGGTCAAATGGAATTTCTATTTCTAGGTCCTTGAGGAATCACCACACTGTCTTCCACAATGGTTGAACTAATTTACACTCCCACCAACAGTGTGACAGTGTTCCTATTTCTCCACATCCTCTCCAGCATCTGTTGTCTCCAGATTTTTTAATGATCGCCATTCTAACTGGCATGAGATGGTATCTCAATGTGATTTTGATTTGAATTTCTCTAATGACCAGTGATGTGAGCATTTTTTTATATGTTTGTTGGCCTCATGTATGTCTTCTTTCGAAAAGTGTCTGTTCATATCTTTTGCCCACTTTTGAATGGGTTTTTTTTTCTTGTAAATATGTTTTAGTTATTTGTAGATTCTGGATATTAGCCCTTTGTCAGATGGGTAGATTGCAAAAAATTTTTCCCATTCTGTTTATTACCAGTTCACTCTAATGATTGTTTCTTTTGCTATGCAGAAGCTCTGGAGTTCAATTAGATCCCATATGTCTATTTTGAGTTTTGTTGCCATTGTTTTTGGTGTTTTAGTCATGAAGTCCTTGTCTTTGCCTACATCCTGAATGGTTTTACCTAGGTTTTCTTCTAGGGTTTTTATAGTGTCAGGTCTTATGTTTAAGTCTTTAATCCATTTGGAATTAATTTTAGTGTAAGGTGTCAGGAAGGGGTCCAGTTTCTGCTTTCTGCACATACCTAGCCAGTTTTCCCAACACCATTCATTAAACAGGGAGTCCTTTCCCCATTGCTTGTTTTTGTCAGGTTTATTAAAGATCATATAATTGCAGAGATGTTGTGTTGCCTCCGATGCCTCTGTTCTGTTCCATTGGTCTATATCTCTGTTTTGTACCAGTACCATGCTGTTTTGATTACTGTAGCCTTGTAGTATAGTTTGAAGTCTGGTAGTGTGGTGCCTCCCGCTGTGTTCTTTTTACTTAGAATTGACTTGGCTATGCGGACTCTCCTTTGGTTCCATATGAAGTTTAAGGTGGATTTTTCCAGTTCTGTGAAGAAGGTCATTGGTAGCTTGATGGGGATAGTGTTGAATCTATAAATTACTTTGAGCAATATAGCCATTTTCACAATATCGATTCATCCTAACCGTGAACACGGAATGTTTTTCCATCTGTTTATATCTTTTCTTATTTCCTTGAGCAGTGGTTCATAGTTCTCCTTGGAGAGGTCCTTGACATCCTTTGTTAGTTGTATTCCTAGGCATTTTATTCTCTTTGTAGCAATTGTGAATGGCAGTTCATTCTTGATTTGGCTCTCTTTAAGTCTGTTATTGATGTATAGGAATGCTTGTGATTTTTGCACATTGATTTTGTATCCTGAGACTTTGCTGAAGTTGCTTACCAGTTTCAGGAGATTTTGGGCTGAGATAATGGGGTCTTCTAGATATACAATCATGTTGTCTGCAAATAGAGACAATTTGACTTCCTCCTTTCCTAATTGAATATGCTTTATTTCTTTTTCTTGCCTGATTGCTCTGGCTAGAACTTCCAATACTATATTGAATAGGAGTGGTGAGAGAAGGCATCTTTGTCTAGTGCCAGATTTCAAAGGGAATGCTTCCAGTTTTTGCCCATTCAGCATGATTTTGGCTGTGGGTTTGTCACAAATAGCTTTTATTATTTTGAGATACGTTCCGTCAGTACCTAGTTTATTGAGGGTTTTTAGCATAAAGGGCTGTTGAATTTTGTCAAAGGTCTTCTCTGCATCTATTGAGATAATCATGTGGTTTTTGCCTTTGGTTCTGGTTATGTGGTGAATTATTTTTATAGAATTGCGTATGTTGAACCAGCCTTGCATCCCTGGGATAAAGCCTACTTGATCGTGATGGATAAGCTTTTAGATGTGTTGTTACAATTGGTTTGCCAGTATTTTATTGAAGATTTTTGCATCTATGTTCATCATGGATATTGGACTGAAGTTTTTTGTTGTTGTTGAGTCTCTGCCAGGTTTTGGTCCAGGATAATGTTGGTCACATAAAATGATTTGGGAAGGATTCCCTCTTTTTGGATATCTTGGAATAGCATCAGAAGGAGTGGTATCAGCTCTTTTTTGTATGTCTTGTAGAATTCAGCTGTGAACCCATCTGGACCTGGGCTTTTTTGTTGGTAGGCTATTAATTGCTGTCTCAAGTTCAGCCCTTGTTATTGGTCTATTCAGGGTTTTGACTTCTTCCTGGTTTAGGCTTGGGAAGGTTCAAGTGTCCAGGAATTTATCCATTTCTTCCACGTTTATTGGTTTATGTGCATAGAGTTGTTTGTAGTAATCTCTGATGGTAGTTTGTATTTCTGTGGAATCAGTGGTGGTATCTCCTTTATCGTTTTTTATTGCATCTATTTGATTCTTCTCTGTTTTCTTTTTTATTAATCTGGCTAGCAGTCTGTCTATTTTGTTGATCTTATCAAAAAAACAGCACCTGGATTTATTGATTTTTTTTGGAGGCTTTTTTTGTGTCTCTATCTCCTTCAGTTCTGCTCTGATCTTAGTTATTTATTGTCTTCTGCTAGATTTTGATTTTTGTTTTTATCTTGCTCCTCTAGCTCTTTCGATTTGGATGGTAGGGTGTCAGTTTTAGATCTTTCCTTGCTTCTTATGTGGGCATTTATTGCTATCAGTTTTCCTCTAGACACTGCTTTAAATGTGTCCCAGAGGTTCTGATATGTTATGTCTTCATTCTCATTGGTTTCCAAGAACAACTTTATTTTCAGCTTCATTTCATTGTTTATCGAGTCATCATTCAAGAGTCAGTTGTTCAGTTTCCATGAAGTTGTGTGATTCTGAGTTGGTTTCTTAATCCTGAGTTCTAATTTGATTGCAGTATTGTCTGAGAGACTGTTATGATTTCCATTCTTTTTTATTTCCTGAGAAGTGATTTACTTCCAATTATGTGGTCAATTTTAGGCTAGGTGTGATATGGTGCTGAAAAGAATGTATATTCTCTGGATTTGGGGTGGAAGTTTCTGTAGATGTCTATTAGGTTTCCTTGGTTCCAATCTGAGTTCAAGTCCTGGATATCCTTGTTAATTTTCTGTCTGGTTGATCTGTCTACTATTGACAGTGGAGTGTTAAAGTCTCCCACTATTATTATGTGGGAATCTAAGTCTCTTTGTAAGTCATTAAGAACTTGCTTTATGTATGTGGGTGCTCCTATATTGGGTGTGTATATATTTAGGATCATTAGCTCTTCTTGTTGCATTGATCCTTTTACTATTATGTAATGTCCTTCTTTGTCTGTTTTGATCTTTATTGGTTTAAAGTCTATTTTATCAGAGACTAGGATTGCAACTCCTTTTTTTTTTCTCTCCATTTGCTTGGTAAATCTTCCTGCATCCCTTTATTTTGAGTATATGTATCTCCTTGCATGTGAGATGTGTTTCCTGGATACAGCTCGCTGTTTGGTTTTGACTTTTTATCCAATTTGCCAGTCTGTGTCTTTGATTGAGGCATTTAGCCCATTTACATTTAAGGTTAATATAGTTATGTGTGAATTTGATCCTGCCATTTTGATGCTAGGTGGTTGTTTTGCCCAGTAGTTGATGCAGTTTCTTAATTGTGTCGATGCTCTTTACCATTTTGTACGTTTTTGGAGTGATTGGTACTGGTTGTTCCATTCTATGTTTAGTGCTTCTTTCAGGAGCACCTGTAAGGCAGGCCAGGTGGTGAAGAAATCTCTGAGCAATTTCTTGTTCATAAAGGATTTTATTTCTGCTAACAATCAGGCCCCTCTGTTCTAGGACTGCTGGAGGTCCACTTCAAACCCTGTTTGCCCAGGGATCATCTGTAGTGACTGCAGAACAGTAAGGATTGTTGCCAGTTTCTTCTTCTGTTATCTTTGTCCCAGAAGGATACCTGCCAGATGTCACCCTAGTTCTTCTTTATGAGGTGTCTCTTTGGATATACGGGGGTTGGGAAGCTGCTTGAGGAAACAGCCTCTCCCTTATAGGAGCTCAAGTGCTGAGCTGTGAGCTCTGTTGTTCTGTTCAGAGCTGCTTGGCTGGTACATTTAAGTCTGCTGCAGCAGAACTCATAACTGCCTTTTTTTCCCAGGTGCTCTGTCCTGGGAAGGTAGGGCTTTATTTATAAGTTCCTGATATGCTGCTGCTTTTTTTCAGAGTTGCCCTGCCCAGCGAGGAGGTAGCCTAGCCACAGTCTTCCAGCAGAGGCACTGCTGAGCTGCCATGGGTTCTGCCCAGCTACTGTGTCAACTTCCTTGCAGTTTTGTTTATAGAGGTATAGTTAGAACTGCCTCAGTAATGACAGACTATCTCTGTAATGGTGGATTGCCTCAGTAATGGCAGACTGCTTCAGTAATGGCAGATTGCCTTGGTAATGGTGCACTGCCTCAGTAATGGAAGACTGCCTTGGTAGTGGTGAACTGCCTCAGTAATGGCGGATGCCCTTCCCACCACAAAGCTGTACTTGTGGTGAAATTCTCAATCCAGAGCATTTCAGATTGCTGGTCCTTGTGGGGGTGGGATGTGCCTAGCCAGATCACCTGGCTCCCTTTTTCAGTCCCCTTTTTTTCAGTTGAATGGGTGACTCAGTCTCCCAGGTGTTCCAGGCGCCAGTTGAAACGGCACCCAGATTTGTGTGAGTTTTTGTGTGGAGACCCGTTGCGCCAGCTCAAACAGCCATGCTGGAGACTCATGGTGCTTTTCCACCCAGGAATCTCCCAGTCTGTAGGCAGTAAAAATTCGTTTGGAAATGCAGTGATTGGAGAGATCCAAGATGGCTGATCACTAGCAGCTCAGGCTTGTAGCTCCCAGTGAAATCGCAGAGAACAAGAGGACACCACACTTTCAGATGAATTTTTGTTGTTCACGGACCAGGAGATTCCCAGCAGAGGAGCCCCACGGGTCGCCAGCACGACTCTTGCAGCTGGTGTGGCGGTTTTGCCGGTGCCCCGGTGCGGCAGTTCTCGGTGCAGAGTAAACGGGACTGGGTCCCCTTTTGGTCGATGATTGGAGCTCCAGGAAGGGGCAGAGCCGCCCAGTCAGCTAATTGAAGAAGGGATTCAGGAGAGAAGCCAGACCGGAGACTCCCGGACAGAAAAGCACCAAGAATCTTGATGCCGCTGTTTTAGCCGATGCAGTGGGTTGCTCAGATTTTGTTCCTGGGAATTAACAAGTTGGACGTCCACTCAGAGACCTAATTTGAAAGTCGGTAATTACAAAGACAACAGCTGGATAAATTTACAATGATAAGAAGAAACCAGCGTAAAAAGGCTGAGAATACTCAAACTCAGAATGCCTCTCCCTCTACAGAGGATCACAGTTCCTCATCAACAAGGGAACAAGGCCTGATGGAGAACGAGTGCATTCCATTAACAGAATTAGGCTTCAGAAGGTGGATAATAAGAAACTTCTCTGAGTTAAAAGAACATGTTCAAGCCCAATGCAAAGAAACTAAGAACTTTGAAAAAAGGTTTGACGAAATCCTAATGAGAATAGACAATCTAGAGAGGAATATAAGTGAATTAATGGGACTGAACAATACGAGAACACTGAGAAGTATGCACAGGTTTTAACAGTCAAATTGTCAAGCAGAAGAAAGGATATCAGAGGTCAAAGACCAAACTTAATGAAATGAAATGAGAAGACAAGGTTAGAGAAGAAAAAGTAAAAAGGAATGAGCAAAGGCTCCAAGAAATATGGGACTATGTGAAAAGACCTAATTTACGTTTGGTAGATGTACCTGAATGTCATGAAGAGAATGAATCCAAGCTGGAAAATATTCTTCTGGAAAACTTTCCTAACCTAGTAAAGTGGGACAATACTCAACTCCAGGTAATACAGAGAACACTACAAAAATATTCCTCAAGTAGAGCAATCCCAAGACACATAATCGTTAGATTCACTAGGATTGAAATAAAGGAGAAAATTCTAAGGGCAGCTAGAGAGAAAGGTCAGGTTACCCATAAAGGGAAGCCTATCAGACTTACAGCAGATCTCTCAGCAGAAACCCTACAAACTAGGAGAGTGGGGGTCAATATTCAATACCCTCAAAGAAAAGAATTTTCAACCCAGAATCTCATATCCAGCCAAACTAAGCTTTATAAATGAAGGAAAAATAAAATTCTTCACGAACAAGCAAGCACTCAGAGATTTCATCACCACCAGACCTGCTTTACAAGAGCTTCTGAAAGAAGCACTACACACAGAAAGGAACAACCAGTATCAGCCAAAAACTTACCAAAAGGTAAAGAGTAGCTCCATAATGAAGAATTTATACCAACTAATGGGCAAAATAGCCTGCTAGCATTAAATGACAATATTAAACTCACAATATCAATAATAATCCTGAATTTAAATGGATTAATTGCCCCAATCAAAGACACAGATATGCAAACTGAACAAAAAGTCAAAACACATCGGCACTCTTTATCCAGAGCCATCTCATAAGCAAGGACACAGAAAGACTCAAAACAAAAGGTTGGAGGAAGACTCACCAGTCAAATGGAGAGAAAAAAAAACAAAAGAAAACAAAAAACAGGAGTTGTAACTTTCATCTCTGACAAAATAGACTACAATAGCAACAAAGACTAAAAGAAACAAAGAAGGACATTACATAATGATAAAAGGATCAATGCAACAACAGGAGTCAATGATCATAAATATATATGCACCCAATATAGGGGCACCCAGATACATAAGACAAGTTTTCAATGACTTATAAAGAGACTTGGACTACCACACAATAATAGCAGGAGACTTTGACACCACATTGTTAATATTCAATGGATTAACGAGATAGAAAAATAACAGGGACATTTATGATTTGAACTCAGATCTGGAGCAAGTAAACTCAATGAATATTTATAGAATTCTTCACCCTGGGTGCACAGAACATACATTTTTTTTAGTATCACATTACACCTATTTTGAAAGTGACCAAATAAATGGAAGCAAATCACTCTTTAGCATTTGCACAGCATTTCACAGATTTAAATGAAATATTGGTTGGCTGTTTCTTTGTTATTTTCTTTCCCTATTCCTTCCTGTCTCCGCTGTTAAGCACAATTATCAGCAAAAAAGAGGTTTTTAATACCTATTTTTAGATAGCATTCCAGCCTGGGCAATAGGGCAAGACTCCTGTTCTCTCTCGCCCTTTTCTCTTTCTCTAAAAAAAAAAAAAAAAAAAAGGAAATGCAGTGATCACTCACCTTCTGCATTCTGGGAACTGCACTCCAGAGCTGTTCCTATTTGGCCATCTTGGATTGTTTGCTATTTTTTTGTCTTTTTAATAGTAGCCACTCTGACTGGGGTAAGATGATGTCTCATTGTGGTTTTGATTTGCATTTCTCTGATGATTAGTGATTTTGAGCATTTTTTTCATATACCTGTTGGCCATTTGTATTTTGTCTTTTGAGAAATATCTATTCATGTACTTTGCTTTCCCCTACTTTTTTTTTTTTTTTTGAGACGGAGTTTCACTCTTGTTACCCAGGCTGGAGTGCAATGGCGTGATCTTGGCTCACCACAACCTCTGCATCCTGGGTTCACACAATTCTCCTGCCTCAGCCTCCTGAGTAGCTGGGATTACAGGCATGCACCACCATGCCCAGCTAATTTTTGTATTTTTTTTTTTTTTTTTAGTAGAGACGGGGTTTCACCATGTTGACCAGGATGGTCTCGATTTCTTGACCTCGTGATCCACCTGCCTCGGCCTCCCAAAGTGCTGGGATTACAGGCTTGAGCCACCGCGCCCGGCCTCCCCTACTTTTTAATGGAATTATTTGTTGCTTTTTTTTTTTTTTCCTGTTGAGTTGTTTGAGTTCCTTGTATATTCTGTATATTAGTCCCCTGTCAGATGAAGTTTGCAAATGTTTTCTCCAATTCAGCAGGGTGCCTCTTCACTTTGGTGATTATTTCCTTTATTGTGCAGAAGCTTTCTTTTTGTTTAATTAAGTCTCTTTTGTCTATTTTTATTTGTTATCTATGCTTTTGAAGTCTTGGTAATACATTCTTTGCCTACACCAATGCCCACTAGAGTTTTTGCTAGGTTTTCTTCTAGTATTTTTATAATTTTAGAGCTTGCATTTAAGTCTTTAATCAACTTCAAGTTTATTTTTGTATGTGGTGAGAGATAGGGGTCCAGTTTCATTCTTCTGCATGTGGCTATCTTATTTTTCCAGCACGATTTATTTAAGAGATTGTCCTTTCTCCAATATGAGTTCTTGTTGCCTTGGCCAATGATCAGTTGACTGTAAATATGTGGCCTTATTTTTGGGTTTTCTGTTCTGTTCCATTGGTCTATTTTTATACCAGTATGATGTTGTTTAGGTTATTATAGTCTTGTGGCATATTTTGAAGTCAGGCAATGTGATGCTTCCAGCTTTGTTCATTCTGCTCAGGATTGTTTTGGCTCTTGGGTTCTTTTTTGGTTTCACATGCATTTTAGGATTATTTTTTCTAGTTCTGTAAAAAAAATGGTGTGGCATTTTTATTAAAATTGCATTGAATCTGTAGATTTCATTGGATTGGTCCATACAGTCATTTTAACAATATGAATTCTAATCCATGAGCTTGAGATGTTTTTCCATTTGTTTGTATTATCTTCAGTTTCTTTCATCAGTATTTTGTAGTTTTCTTTGTAGAGATCTTTCACCTCTTTGGTTAAATATGTTCCTAGGCTTTTGTTTGTTTGTTTGTTTGTAGCTATTATAAATGGGAATGCTTTCTTGATTTTTGTAGAAATGCTAATGATTTTGGGGCATTGATTTTGCATCCTATAGCTTTAATGAATTCATTTATCAAATCTTAGAGGTGTAGGGGTGTGTTTGTGTGTGTGTGTGTGTGTGTATAGTCTAGGTTTTTCTAGGTATATCACATCAACAGCAAAGAGGGACAATTTAACTTCCTCTTTTCCAATTTGGATGCTGTTTATTTTTTTCACTTGCCTGATTGCTCTGGCTAGGACTTCCAGCACTGTCTTGGATAGGGGTAATGAAAGTGGGCATCCTTGTCTTGTTCCAGTTCTCAGAGGAAAGGCCTTCAACTTTTCCACATTCAGTATGATTTTAGTTGTGGGTTTGTTGTATATGGCCTTTCTTATTTTGAGGTATGTTCCTTTTATACATAGTTTGTTGAGTTTTCTATCATGAAGCCATGTTGAATTTTATCAGATGATTTTCTGCATCTATTGAGATGATCATGTGGTTTTTGTCCTTCATTCTGTTGACATAATATATCATGTTTATTGACTTGCATATGTTGAACCATTCTTGCATCCCTGATATAAATCTCACTTGATTATGGTATATTATCTTTTTGTTTTTTGTATTTGTTTGAGACAGGATCTCCTTCTATTGCCTAGGCTAGAGTGCAGTGGGGTGATCTTAGCTTACTGCAACCTCAGCCTCCTGGGCTCAAGTGATACTTCCACGTCAGCCTCCTGAATAGCTGTGACTATAGGTGAATGCCACCACACCTGATTAATTTTTGTTATTTGTAGAGATGGAGTCTCACTATATTGCCCAGACTGGTCTTGAACTCCTGGGCTTAGGTAATCCTACTGCCTTGCCTTAGCTTCTCAAAGTGCTGATGAGGGAATGTGTTCTCTTTCCAGATCCACAGGAGACATAGTTTTGAGGGCAAGAACTTCCTAGCACCATGCCCCCCACTCCTATCTCTCTCCATCTGGGAGATTTAACAGTTTGTGTTTAAATTTCACAGGCACAGGAAGAAACTAGGAGTCAGTCACTCCAGTGGAAGTTCTAATGAACCCCTTTCATTGGCCTGGGGTCTTAGAGAAGGTGGGGGTTCCTCCCAGCTTAAAAGTCCCCTTCTTCCACAGCCCTTCGGACTCCATGTTTGGATCCCCTTCCATGGACACTCCCTTCGTGGAAGCGGTTTTTCTCTATCCTAGATTTTCCCTCTGGAGTCTCCTTCCACACTCTCTCATGGAAGCCTATCTTCCCTTCCTAAACTCTATCTCTCTATTCCCTTCTTCTCAGTGTGAGAAGGAAATCCATCTTTCTAAATTCTCTCACTCAGTGTGAGAGTTAGCTGTTTCTTTCTCTCCTTCTCCTGTTTCTCTCTCTCTTTAAATAAATCACTTTCTGGTCGGGCGCGGTGGCTCACGCCTGTAATCCCAGCACTTTGGGAGGCCGAGGCGGGTGGATCACGAGGTCAAAAGATCGAGACCATCCTGGTCAACATGGTGAAACCCCGTCTCTATTAAAAATACAAAAAATTAGCTGGGCATGGTGGCGCGTGCCTGTAGTCCCAGCTACTCGGGAGGCTGAGGCAGGAGAATTGCCTGAACCCAGGAGGCGGAGGTTGCCGTGAGCCGAGATCGCTCCATTGCACTCCAGCCTGGGTAACAAGAGCAAAACTCCATCTCAAAAATAAATAAATAAATCACTTTCTACGAACACTTTTGAGTCCAGCATTTACTGCGCACTGTGCTGTGGTCCCCTCTCTCATTCTTGAGAGGGCAGGAGACCAAGAATCTGGAGAAACATCCTCTCAGGGGAGCTGAGGGCACCCTGAACCCCAATATTACACTGGGGTTACAGATGTGATAATCCAATACCAAATCCAACAGTACATCAAAAAGATAATATACTCTGCCAAGGCCTGGGGGAATTATCTTTTCGATGTTCCATTGGATTTGGTTTGCTAGTATTTTGTTGAGGATTTTTGTGTCTATGTTCAGAGATACTGTTCTGTAGTTTTCGTTTTTGTCATCTCCTTGAGTTTTGATATTAGGGTGATGCTGACCACATAGATGAGTTAGGAAAAATTTCCTCCTCTCTGATTTTTTGAAATAACTTCAAGAAGATTGATAGTAGTGCTTTGTACCTTTGGTAGAACTCAGGTGTGAATCTATCTGGTCCTGGGCTTTTATGCTGTTGTTGTCTTACTGATTCAGTCTTACTGTCTGTTATTGATTTGTTTAGGTTTTCTGTTTATTCATGCCCAATTGGGGTAGGTTGTATGTTTTCAAGAATTTATCTATATCTGATAGGTTTTCCAGTTTGTCAGTGTGTAGTTGTTCATAACAGTCTCTGATGATCTTTTGTATTTCTGTGATATCAGTTGTAATGTTTCCTTTTTCATTTCTGACTTTATTTAAATCTTTCTTCATGACTAGCCTAGCTAGTGGTTTTTAAATATTGTTTATCTTTTTGAAGAGCCAACATTTCATTTTGTTGATCTTTTGTAGTTTTTTAAGTCTCTATTTTATTTAGTTCCGTTCTGATTTTTATTATTTCTTTTCTTCTGCTAATTTGTGATTTAATTTGCTTTTGCTTTTCTAATTCCTCAAGGTGCATAATTAGAATGATAATTTGTAATTTTTCTACTTTTTTGGTGTAGGCATTTATTGCTATAAGCTTCCCACTTAGCACTGTTTTTGCTGTATTCCACAGGTTTTTGCATGTTGTATTTTTGTTTGTTTCAAGAAATTTTTTGACTTCTGTTTCAATTTCCTCATTGGCTCAATGGTCATTCAAAAACATGTTGTTTAATGTCCTTATATTTGCCTACTTTTAAGAGTTTCTCTTGGTATTGATTTTTTAGTTTTATTGTGATCTGAGGAAATACTTGATTTGAATTTGATTTTAAAATTTTTCTGAAACTTGTTTTGTGGCCTAACATATGGTCTGTCTTGGAGAATGTTCCATGTGCTAATAAGCAGAATATATATTTGGCAATTGTTGGGTAGAATGTTCTGTAAATGACTAAATAAAGTCTACTTTAAATTTAATTTTTTGTGTTGATTTTCTGTCTAGATGAGCTGTGTAATGCTGAGAGTAGGGTGCTGGGAAATCCCCCACAATTACTGTACTACAGTTTATCTATCTCTCTCTTTAGATTTAGGAATGTTTGCTTTATAAAGCTGGATATTCCAGTCTTGGGTGCGTATATGTTTAGAATTGTTGTACTCTCTTTCTGGATTGACCCTTTCATTAATATATAATTATCTTCCTTGTCCTTTTTTTTAAACTACTCTTGATTTAAAGTCTGTTTTATCTGATATAGCTACTCCTACCCACTTTTGGTTTCCATTTGCATGGAATATTTTTTTTCATCCCTTTACTTTCAGTCTATGGTAAGATGGTAAGATGAATTCCTCAAAAGCAGCATATAGCTGAATCACTTAAAAATATCAATTCAAGCATTTTTTATCTTTTAACTGGAGAATTTAATCCATTTATGTTCAAGGTTATTATTGATACATGAGGCTTTGTTCTTGTCACATTGCTAATTGTTTTCTGGTTTTCAATATATTCTTGTTTGTTTTTTTTTTCTTCTTATTGTGTGTCATTGTGGGTTGGTGGGTTTCTATAGTGGTACCATTTGAATCCTTTCTCTTCCTCCATTGTGCGATTGCTTCACCAGTGAGTTTTACAGTTTGATGTGTATTCATGATGGGAGATGACATTCTTTTGCTCCCAGGTTTAGGGTGGCCTTGAGCATTTCTTGTAGAGCTGATCTAGTGGTAATGAATTCCCTCAGCATTTGCTTGTCTGGGAAAGACTTTATTTTTTCTTCACTTATGAAGGATAATTTTGCTGGATCTAATATTCTTGGCTAGCAGTTTTTTTTGTTTGTTTGTTGTTGTTGTTGTTTTCACTTTGAATGTATCTTCCCATTCTCTTCTGGCCTTTAAGGTTTCTGGTGACAAATCCACTGTTGGTCTGATGGAGTTTCTTTTATGGTTGACGAGACACATTTGCTGTTTTTAGAATTTTCTCTTTATCTTTGACATTAGACAGTCTAACTATGCTGTGCCATGGAGAAGAATTTTTTGTATTGTATCATCCTGGGATTGCTGAATTTTCTGTATCAGAATGTCTAAAACTCTTACTAGACTTGGGAAGTTGTCATCTATTATTTTGCTGTATTTTCGATTTCTTTTATTTTTTATTTGCCTTTGGGGATATTAATAATTTGTAGATTTGATCTCTTTACATGTCCCAATGTCACATAAGCTTTACTCCTTATTTTAATTTTCTTTATTTTTATCTAACTGGATTATTTGAAAAGACCTGTCTTAAATTTTTGATATTCGTTATTTTGCTCAATCTAGTCAATTGATGAAGTTTTTAAATGTGTTTTGTATTTTACTCAATGAATTATTCACTTTTAGAATTTGTTTGGTTCTTTTTATAAATGTCTGTCTTTAGAAAATTTCTGATTCATATTCTGAACTGTTTATCTGACTTCTCCAAGAATTCTCTTGTATCTAAATAAGCTTCTTTAAAGTCAGTATTTTGAATTCTTTATTCAGAATTGTATAAATTTATTTACTTTTGCGACATTACTCTATTGCCCAGGCTGGAGTGCAGTGGTGTGATCTCATCTCACTGCAACCTCTCCCTCCTGGGTTCAAGCAATTCTTCCTGCCTCTGCCTCCCAGGTAGCCAGGATTACAGGCACCTGGAACCATGACCAGCTATTTTTTTTAATTTTTAGTAGAGATGGAGCTTCACCATGTTGGCCAGGCTGGTCTCGAACTTCTGACCTCAAGTGATCATGAGGCCTGAGCCCCAAGCCTGGCCTATATATTTCTTTTTGATTGGGATATGTTGCAGGAGAATAATTACGTTCCTCATGAGGTTTCATATTTCCTTGCCTTTTTATGTTGATATTTGTTTAACTGATATAACTGTTGCTTCTTCCAATTTTTTGAAATTGTTTTCTTAGGGAAGGACTTTCTCCTGAAGGTGTATATAATGTTGTTGATTGGGTAGGGCATTTTGGCTTTTCTTTCTGGGGCATGCAGTATTGTAATTTCTGTATGACTTCTCTGGCTATAAACAGTATCAGTGGTATCTGTGATTTACTCAGTGGCTTAAGATGTGGTTATTATTTGAGACTGTGGTGAAGTTTTGCTGTGGAGTAGGATGCCATGGGCCAGTCACCAGGTCTCAGTGGTGGCAGTGGTGAGCTTAGCATGCCTGTTCTTTGGCTTCAAGGCATCTTGTGCTGGCACCAGTGTTATTGGGTCCAGGAGGGTTGATCCTTGGGCCTCCAGGTGGCTTGGTTGGGTGCTGGTAGTGCCACTGGGGGGCTCGGCATGTGGGCAAGTTCTTGGACCACTGGAAGCTGGTATGATATGGGTGATGGCAGTGCCAGTGATGGAGCAACCCCATGTGGGCTGTACTCCTATTGGCATTTGCTGTGACAGGCTGGGTGCCAGCTGTAGTGGTATTGGCAAGTTGTTTTGGCTGAACCTTAGACCCTGCGAGTAGTGTTCAAGTGCCAACGAGGTGGACTGCACTGGATGATTTCTAGGCTTCTGGACAGTATGCTTGGGTAGTTGGTGGAGGAGACTATGATGGGAGACTTGTACTCATGCCCCCAGTAGTACATTTAGGAGCTGACTGTGATGGCCGAGGGTGGGGATGATCTCCAGGGCACCAGGGTAATACTCAAGTGTGGGCAGCAGTTGCTGTACTGTGGGTTTGTCACCAGGGAGGGTGGGGCCTCTCTCAGCTGGAGCAGTATAGGCAGGTAGCTGTGGAGAGTGGTTTGCTCATACCTTAGTTTCATAGCAGCCTGCAGGAGCATTAGTGGGATTTGTCCTCGAAGTACATGAAAATACCTGTGCTTCCCCTCTCCCTCCTTGGCCTGGTGGTGCAGGGACAGGGTCATCCCAAGCCCTAAGTCATTATGCAGACCTTTGGAGGATAGGTTCTCTGTGCTATGGCCTTGCCATTGGGAAGGGCAGGGTCCTTCTCAGCTGAAGCAGCACAGGCAGGTAGCTGTGGGTAGATTGGTCATCATGCGTTGGTCTCATGCAGCCTACAGCAGCAGCAATGGGATTTGTCTTACAGATGCGTGGGAGTGCTTAGCCTCCCCTTTCTCCTTGGCCTGGTGGTGGCAGTGGCACCATTAGCCCTGGCCCTAGATCAGGATGCAGACCTTTAGAGGCTAGTCTCTCAGAATGGCACCAGCAGTGGGCCTGCCACTGGGGAGAGTGGGGCCCCTCTCAGCTGGAGCAGTGCAGGCAGGAAGCTATGAAGAGTGCAGTTAGCCTTGGTCCCATAGCAGCCCACAGCTGCCATGACCCCCTCCTTGGGTTTGATTTTTTGCTAGAATGGCTCACAGAATTCAGGGAAACACTTTTAACTATTGCTAATTTATTCTAAGAGGCTACAACTCAGGAGCAGCCAGATGGAAGTGATCCATAGGGCAAAATATAGGGGAAGAGGTGCAGAGCTTCCATGCCTTTTCTGGATTCACTATACGCTACATGTTCAGCAACCTGGAAGCTCTCCAAACCCTGTCCCTTTGTGTTTTTATAAAGGCTTCATTATGTTGACATGACTGATTAAATCATCGACCATTGTTGATTAACTCAACCTTAAGCTTCTCTAATCACTTGATTGGTTCTGCTGGCAACTATCCCCTATCTTGAGGTTTTCTAAGTGCCCCCAGCCATTAGTAACCTTATTAGCATACAAAAGACACATATTACTTCACAGATTCTGAGGGTTTTCTGAACTATGTGGCAGAAATGAGGCAGAGGTCAAGTACATATTTTTCATTACATTACCACACTCTAGTTCCTCCATCTTTTCCTTCCTTCCTACTTTCTCTTTCTTTCTTTCTTTCTTTCTTTCTTTCTTTCTTTCTTTCTTTCTTTCTTTCTTTCTTTCTTCTTTCCTTCCTTCCTTCCTTTCCTTCCTTCCTTTTCTTTCTTTCTTTTTGTTTCTTTCTCTTTTCTTTTCCTTTCTTTTCTTTTATAAAATCGCACAATCTTGGCTCACTGCAACCTCCACTTCCCGGACTCAAGCAATTCTCCTGCCTCAGCCTCCAGAGTAACTGGGATTACAGGCATGCTCTACCATGCCCAGATAATTTTGTATTTTTAGTAGAGACAGGGTTCTTTTAGTTAGGCTGGTCTTGAACTCCTGACCTCAGGTGATTCACCCGCCTCAGCCTCCCAAAGTGCTGCCATTACAGACATGAGCCACCATGCCTGGCCTACATCCTAGTTTTCAAAACTGTTGTTCTACTCCTCTACTATTATCATTCTTTTGTAGATTAATTTCTTCTTAAACCATCTACTGTAATATTAATATGTTTGGGGAAGCAGTGGTTATAGTCGTGTGTGCAGGTAACCTGTATTTCTGTTTTGTGTGATTTGTTATTTTAGAATTATTTATTTC